CCGCCCCGCCCCGCCCCGCCCCGCCCCAAGGCTTCCGTCTCAAGCGCTGACGAGTCTTTCTTTGCAGGCCTGGCAAATCAGCGTGAGCCCTACCCGGCCTTGTGGGTGGCAGCGAAAGGTCAGACGGGGTCAGGAGGGGGGAGGGACGACTTCAGAAAGCCTGAAGCAGGGCCCCCCGTGGGGGGCGGGGGCAGGGGCAGGGACACCAGCTTTGAAGGGGACTCCCCTGACAGCCTTTCCGTTCCCAAGCACCAGGGAGGGGGGCAGCCAGGGGTCCGGAGGGCCGTTGCGTGCCGTGTGTCACGCCCCCGAGCCAGTGGGACCGGGCACGTGGTTTTCGCATCTAACCACCCAACTGCAGCCTGGCACCCGCGGCTTCCTCCTCGAGAACTTCTCTCTCCAGTAGAGGAAAGAGATCAAACCTCGCAGCTGGAAACGAAACAGCTCGAGTCAAAATAAGGCTACGGGGTGGTTTTGGTGACCCAGGTCAAACACGCTCCCAGGGGAAGAGGGGAACTGGCACGCAGCAGCGTCGGCGGGGGGGGGAGCAGCCTCTGCAAACCAGCCTGCAGCCTGGGGCAGGCCTGCCGGGGACGCGCGCGGGGCTGGCTGCTCCCTCGCCCAGAGCCCCGACTCCTTGCGGAGTCAGCCGCACGCGGAGGGAGACCGGAGGTCTGGGGGGCGCTCCCAACCACAGCGAGCGATGCTGGCTCTTCCTGCAGCACGCCCGCGCAGGCTCAGGCCCCGGGGCCAAGACCCAGAGCGCCAGCCCCCCGGGCCCCACAAGCCTCCTGCAAGGCCCGATCCACAGGTCCCCCACCAACCCCGACGCCCCGATTTCTGCCACGGGGGAGGGTCCTTTGCATGGCAGGCAGCCCCCCAGCTCGGCACAGATCAGGACAACAAACTTGGAGACGCATACGCAAGGTCTGATTAACCATGGTTTACTGAATAAACCACAAAGGGCTGGGCTCACTCAACATACTCAGACTTTTCCGGAAGTGGGCAGCTCTGTGCAATTTTGCAGGATGTTGTAGGGCCTCAAAAGGTTTGGGGTTTTTTTTAGAAATTAAACCTCGAAACTTCAACATTAGAGCTGACAAAAATGCCTTAAAATCTTAAAACTGTTTCTGCAAGAGGCTGCTTGCTTTAATTTTTATCACACGTTTTAAATAACGTTTTCA